CCAGAGCTATTCCAGGATCGAGCAGCAGACTTCGAGGATGCAGTCTAAAATAAGTGGGGGAGATTTGTAGCACCTGGTTCCTGGTATGTATTTTATTTAAGTATTTTGCATTTTTTACCTTGGACTCGGCAAGTTGAATGACCAACTCGCCGAGTAGAAGCGGGATGCGACGCGGGATTTAAGTGATGGACTCGTCGAGTCGGGTCCCGGACTCGACGAGTAGGCTCTGTATGGACAAAACCCTAATCTGAGGGTTTGCACCCTATTTAAACAACCTTATACAGCCTCCATCGCCCCTTTATGCTCCCAGAAACCCTCTATAGCAAACCCTAAGTGTTTTGGTGCAAGATTTAAAGCTTTTGAGTGATTTTTGGTGGTTTTGTTCACAAGGAAGAAGGAAGAGCATAGAAGGATCAAGAGGAGACTGAAGGATTCGAGTTTGGTTCATCATTTGCAGTCTTTGAAAGGTATAAAGTCTATATCTTGCTCTTTCATTTGATAGATCCCTTTTTGGGAAGATTTAGGGCTTTTATAAGCCATTTTGGTAACCAACCATGATTGCAAACATGGTTGGGGGTCAAGGCTTCGGACCTAGCACTTGGGAAGAGCCACAAGGAAGATTTGGGTTGCTTTTGCACCCAAGAAAGGTCCCATGCATCATAAGAGCTTATTTTATGTCCTTTTGAGTTCAAAGTCCCATGCATGCACGTAAAGTTTGTAACTTTATGTGCTAGAACAATTGAAGGAGCTTAGATCTACCTTTTGGTCAAGTGTTGTACATAAGAATTCGAGGATTTAGGGTATGGATGTCCTCGACTCGGCGAGTCCGTTCTTGGGACTCGACGAGTCCAAGGCTTTGAGTCCCATATCTGTTGAGGGTCAAAAGGACTCAGTTGGGTGTTAGAAGGGTTGTAGCAGGACAGAAAGAGTGACCCAACGCATTGGACTTAATTTTAGACCTGGAGTTCATGGGACTCGACGAGTGCTAGAACAGACTTGGCGAGTCCAAGGCAATCTCCTTATATTTGAAGATGAACTCGACGAGTTGTTCATACAACTCGGCGAGTCAAGGTCAGGACTTGTTCATCAGTTGAAGGTGAACTCGGCGAGTATTCATCCGACTCGGCGGGTCGGATGAAGGTTCATTGATGTTCGTAAGGAGGGGAACTCGTCGAGTCGTTGCCAAACTCGACGATTCGAGTCGTGGATAAGGACGAGTAAAGGGAAGGGACTCGACGAGTTGACGACCCAACTCGGCGAGTCGGGTCAACTGGAAGTTGACTTTGTCTTGGACTTGGTTAGGGGTAAAATGGTCATTTTACCCTAAGAATAGATATCAGTGTCTAACTGAGTGTTTTGTGGGGATTGTAGCCGGAGGATTTCCGGAGCAGCAGCGGACGGAGGTTTCCCGCATAGATTATCAGCAGCTACTTGTACGAGGTGAGTTATCTTCCAGTAGGGGTGGGTCTAAGGCCACAATGCCGGCCCACCAAAGAGGAGTATTTAGAAGATGATTGTCTTTGTGATAATTATCTTGGTCTGGTTACGTGCTTTGGTCATGAGTTTTATCTATATGATATGTTACGTGTGTAATAGGGATTAGCTTCCCTGACAGTGGTCCTTAGGACCGAAAGGTAGGTCAGTACCCGGATATGTCTGACTGTATGTTTATATCTTGTTGTTGTATGCTAGTGGTAGGGGGTGGAATAGTCCCTAGTTACCGGTTGAAAGATACCGATGACAGCTACCGGTTGAAAGATACCGATGACAGCTACCGGTTGAAAGATACCGATGATGATTACCGGTTGAAAGAAACCGACGATGATTACCAGTTGGAAGATACCGATGTTATTGTATGGTATGTGGTATGATGGGGGAAATCACTAAGCTTTGTGCTTACGGTTTCAGTTTTGGTTTCAGGTACCTCTTCGTCTAAGGGGAAGGAGCCAGCGGCATAGCATCGCATCACACACACACATGATTTCCGCATGGAGTTTTCTGGGATTGTACTCTGATATGTTATTATTTTACGACTTGGGTTTCAGACATGATACATTGTTTCATGAGATGATGTTTTTTCATAGTATTTTCTTATGAATGTTTTTATGAGTCAGTTAATTAAAAAGATATTTTTGGACTTGAAAATTGGGATGTTACACATTTGACCTAAATTCATATGATAGTTGTGAATCTTGTTTGCTTGGAAAAATGACAAAGTCACCCTTCACTGGTACTTGTGCTAGGGGTGAGGGTTTGTTGGACCTTATACATACTGATGTGTATGGACCCTTCAGAACCGCCATAAGAGATGCTAACCGCTTCTATGTGACTTTTACTGATGATTTTAGTAGATATGGATATGTCTACTTAATCAAGCATAAGTCAGAGACCTTTGAAAGATTAAAAGAGTTCAAACAGGAAGTGGAGAATCAGTTGGGCAGGAACATTAAGATGCTACGATCCGATCGAGGTGGTGAGTATCTTAGTACAGAGTTCCTTGACTATCTTAAGGAATGTGGGATTATCTCACAATTGACACCTCCCAGGACACCACAGCTTAATGGTGTGGCTGAAAGGCGCAATCGAACCTTGTTGATCAAGTATGACTTGAGTATAAGTCAAACATTATGATATAAACTTGGATACCGATGACTTCATCTCGGGCCACCAATACATCTGTTTTAGATCTCTATAAGTTTTCGTACTCCTTGGATTAATGGAGTATTTAAATTTATGTGCTTCTTCAGTTATCATTTTTTGTGTCTGTCTATAAACGGGCACCAAAATTCTATTCTTGAACGTTTTCAAACCCCGATAATTTTCTTTGAACTCTATAATTTTCTGCAACTTCTCTTCCTTAACATTTTCTGCCTTCATTACCTCCACTTGATATGCCTTAATTTTGTCCAATAAGGTGGATACCTACTTAATTCTCATGGACCTTCCTCTAATACAGACTTTTGGTGTCTTCCTACTTAAATCATCCGCTTCTACATTCTCCTTGCTAACATGGTAGATTATCTAACAATCATAATCACAAATTAACTTAATCTACCTTTTGTGTCACATATTGAAATCTTTCTATGAGAACACACATTGAAGACTTTTGTGATTTGTATACAACTTGCATTATGTACCGTAAAAGTAATGCCTCCATATCTTTAAAGCAAAAACTATCGCTACCAACTCTAGGTTGTAAGTCGTATACCTCATCTCAGATTCTTTCAATTGTCGAGAAGCATAAGCAATAACCTTTCCACGCTTCCAACTCCAGGTCGTAAGTCGTATATCTTGTAAGTTACATGAAATTCTTATTGGATATATTTTTAAAGTTCTAAATTTCTAAATTTCAAATTCTATATGGCAATGTACCAAATCCGAAGAACGTGCATGGCCAAGGTAGAAACTTAAATCTTTATGAAGCGTATGCTGATAACGCTGATTTACATGGGAAGATTAATAACACCACGAGACCTGTCGATTCATAAGGGATAATGGCGAAATGTTAGTTAGATTGATCTAAAACAAGGTGACATCAATTATACCACTACACTATCCACCTTGAGTTCGTGTTCCTGTGCATTACAAAGAAGCTATATATCTTATGTTAGAAGTAAGTATACAATACTTTTTATATGTATTGAATTTTACTCTTACTAAATATTTCTTTTACTGATCAAATATCTTTTTTTCCAGACCTATTTTGATCTTAATAGGTATCAGGGTAGAAATTTATAGGAAGTCGTTCTAGCGGGTATCCAAGACGACTGCCAAAGAGCATATGGAGAACGCAAATATGATGCGAAATTTCATCTTGACAATGTCGGCGGATATACAAACACAGAAACTACAAGAAGATCTCCACAAAGTCATTAGAACGCCCAAACTTGGAATGCGTTGTTTGATTTTTTGTTTTTGACCCTGAGATATTGGCGTATGTTGGAAAAAAATAAAAGTACTAGGGCGAAACTTCCACATACAAATGCCCATGGTTGTATGCTATATGCTAAGATATTCCATTTAGAGGTAAGAAAACTTAGTTGTATTATATACATTTTTTATTAACATTTATATAAACATGTTCTTTTTTTAGGCTTATTATAGGAACAAAAAGCATAAAAGCCGCAACATATTGAGGGTTGGAGACAGATGTGCTTCAAGGAAGGCTTGGGGTGGTGTACACGTCGAGCACAAGAAGATTGGGTAAGTAATAAACAAAATTAGTATGTTGTTTAAATATGCTATTATTATTATAGTTTTTTGTTTAAGGTATATTACTATTACTTTTGTGTTTAAATTTAATGTATGTCTATTGTTTTCTTTATTTTAAGAAAAAATATAATAGAATATTTAAATGCAAGACGAGGTTGCCGAGGGCGAAGATGTAAATGTCTCAATCGCGTCTCCTGGATGAGATGCAGACATCTTCCCGAGTTCAATCCAAAATATGAGTGATTCCCAATTTGGTGCATTAACCTAACAAATGCAAGAATACTTGCAACGAATGCAAAAAAAGGTATAATGATTCATTGGCGGCCGCAATTCCTAACTTCCAACAAGGGAGTTGATATTTGCACTTATTTATTTTATCTATCCACTTAAGTTTAAAATGTTTTGACACTTTTACCCTTATTTAAAATTTACAAAAAAGAAAAAGAAGAAGATAAATAGGTTTTATACGTGCCCCACTTAATAACATTTAATCCTCTTTTTTTTCTTCTTCATAACTTTTCTAACACAAATTAATATGTTTTCCTTTCAGTCCATCCCTACTAACTGATGCTTTTTTTCCTTCAATTTATTCATTTTTTTTCTTATTTATCATTTGAATGAAAATTAACAAAAGTTCATCTGTTTTCTCATATATCTATTGAAGGCATTATCTGTTGCACATGTAAGAAAATTAATTGTTTCAAACTAATACATATCGTAATAAATTATTCAAACTAGTTTATATCAAATCATTATAAAATGTTTCCCAATAAAAATATTTGAATCACTTAAAAAATTGGATATGTATTTAAATCAAATAAGTTGTTCTCAAACACTTCATTATTCATATGGAAGTCACCGGTAGAACTTGAAGGGTTGTGTGTTTGTGATGATTCCACGAATCTTGAAGGATCTCGTGCGGTAGAAGTTATTCCTCTTTTCTTTTTTGATTTTGGAGGTCTACCTTTTGGTTTACGAATCATTGGTTCAAAGAACGCATCAGATTCGATCAAAAGCTTGGTAATCATAGAAGTAGCAAATTCTTTTTTACTTAGATACCACACTTTGTATCTTGAAGACAACTCAGTAAGCAACTCATCAAATTTGTTGACACCATCATTCTGTGAATCATCTTCCGACTTCAGACGCAATGTGTCAATCCTCCATTGTGGATGAATAAGATCCAAAGAAAGTGGCATTCCTTGCAACTGTTTTATTTTGTGAGCATAAGGAAGACCCATGATTGCCATAAAATGATAGGTACAAGGCGTCATTATACATGAAAAACCAAACAGTTATTAAAGGTTAATGTAAAAATTAATGTTTTACAATAATCTAAAACTACAATCTTTGTAAATATTACCATTTTTTATTTTTTCACATTGCATATGTGTCTCCTTTGATGCAAAATTAGATACATGAGACAAAAGCTCTCTAACAAACGACATGTCACAATTATGAAAAACTTAAAATTTTTCACTTGCGAGTTTCACTTTAATCTCGTTGAATTTATGTTTAATTGCAAGACAAATCTTTTCTTTAACTTCTTGTAAGCCACCGATAGATACTTGTAGATACAACTTGAGTTTGGAATGAGCACCTTTAGCACCTTTAGCCCTTGAAGATAAACGATTACCAAAATGCAAGTAATTTTCTGTCAAAGTAGTAACAAACTTTTCTTTCCAAGGCAACCATGTGCTTTTTATATAATCAATTGCAACTTTTTTTGTTTGAAAAAGAAACTCAAATTCACCCCATTTATTCTAAAAAATAGTTGTTCTAGTTGAATACACTACATTTATCCAACTTGACATAAATGTATTAAAATCTTCTGCATGTGCAAAATGCTTCTTGCAATTTGCCAACACGTTCTTTTCAATATGTCAAATACACAAAAGGTTTGTCGTGTTCAGAAATACCATCTTTATAGCATTCATTAATGCCAACTCTCTATCAGACATAATCACAGACGGTTCATGATTTTCAAGAATTTTCTTAAACACATTTAATGCCTAGATATAGCTCTATTCATCCTCTTTCTCAAAAAAAACAAATCCAGAATAAAAAGAGGTATGAAAGCATGAAACCCCAATGATATCAAGGAGAGACATGTTATACTTGTTTCTTTTGTATGTGCAATCCATAACAAAGATAGTTGAGAAAGCTTTGGCGAGTATAATTGACAAGGGATGTGCAGTGAACAAATGGGTTATATGCCCTACTTCATTATGGAAAATATCATAAATAAAACCCTCTTTTTCAAGCTCTTTAAATAAGGCACTAACCATTAAACGATTTTTCATGTTTTCCTTGCGGATTTTCATCTTCCGGTTGTATATAGTTCGAGAATTTGCCGGAAGGTTTTGGTTTTTCTGTCGCAAAGAGGAAATAATTTGCCTTGGGGGTATACCAGAAAGTGACATGTTTTTTACACTTTGTACGTCAGTTGATGATAATCGATGAAATGATGGATGCCTAGACATATGAGTAGATGGTTCATGGTTATGAGTCAAGTTTTTAGCATTAACTGCCCAAGAACCATCAATTCCTTTTTTTACCTACAATTTGGAAGGGTCATTTGATCAAACGAGATCCGATGTTTCTCTTTCTTTTATTGCCAATACATAATCTATCTTAATATGAACCGACTCGGTCACATTGCAACTTGACATATTTGTCTTTACTTGAATCTCGAATAGATAATGCATATCCTTTAGCGTAATAAAAGTCCTGTACATTCTTTAGTAATTCATCATATGATTCAAATTTGGAGTTAGCTAAATAGAGTTCTTCATTTTCTATCATAAGACTTGATGAATCCATCCCAATGGTGCCTAAAGCATATTATAAAACATAAATCAAGTTAGTAGTTAGTGTATGCTAGCTATAACATAATATAAAACATAAATCAAGTAAGTTATCACTTTTACTTCACGTTCATGCAAAAGAATAAGCCTTTACATAATGTTTACATTTCTACTGTATAAATTATTTCACCCTTCATATACATGTTGTTTATCTATTATAAGGTTTACTTTTACTTCACATTCATGCAAAAGAAATAGGAAACCAAGGAAATATGGGAATTCCTTCTCTTTCTCAGCTAATAAAGATATTTGCTAAAAGCCTAAAACTATAGTTATTATACATACTTCATAGAGACTATAACAACGCATTCAATCATGTACACAAATTGCATAAAGTGATTTTTTTTACAATTACATTTTAACTCCTTATACATGTAAGTAATTTGCTACAATTGCATAACATTAATTTATTTCACTTCCCTACTACGGGAACATATATATTTACAGTATAACACATGCACCCATTTAATATGCAAATTAAATGCCCTTAACTCTCAAGCATGCAAAACCTAAACCCTAATAAAATCCATCCCATTAATTAATTTTCGACATCAATGCTTTGATGAATATTATCACCATCTATTAGAGACAAATGAATACACCTATGAAAAACTTATGAACGATAGGCATAAATGTGGTATAATATACACATAAGAACCGTAATATAATCATGATAAATCAGTAATATAATGAAGATTAATCAGCAATATATTCAACACTTGTGATTATGCTATGTTCTTAATTCAGGGCTCCAACTTCTTCGGTATCAGACAAAGGAAGAAGAAGCAGTGGTCACCGGTGAAGAAGAAATGCCAGTTTTTGAATGGTGACTACGAAGGAGAATCGGTCGTCGTTTGGAAAGAAGAATTATGTTGATCACATTGTTAGGTATTCTTATCAATCTCCATATTTCGTAAATTTTAAATAAGGTCATAATGGTCAAAATATTTTTATTTTAAGTGGATAGATAAATTATACAAGTGGAAATATCATCACCCTTCCAACAGCTACCAATGCTACACTTTCATTTCAATCTCAATCCCAATATGTTTCCAAGAAACACCCCCGGAATAACCGACGAGACCGAGGAGACGGAAGAAGATTATGATGATTGATCTTTTCTGTTATTTTGATATGTACTAGACTTGAATTTGAACAATATGTGTTAAATGTTGGTAATATTTATTGAATGTGTGCTTATTATAGATATATGCTGCAACTTGTCTGGATTTGTTAAATGGGTAATTACTAATCTAGCCAAATTAGAAAAGTAATTAACCATTTTTATCCAAAAATTAGGAATTGTCCCAAAATAGCCCACGAAACCGTAGGTATTTAGTTTCGGCTACTGTTTCGCTAAAATTTCTACTGGTTCGTGTTTTTGTATAAAAAAAATTCATTTTGAAGATATAAAACCGTAGGTTTTTTAAAAACTACGGTTTTCTCTCTATAAACTACGGTATCCCAAACCGTAGGTTACAGTTTTGGGATAAATCTACGGTTTCGAATGAAAACTACAGTGTATAAGTCCACACTCCACAATCTATGCATTGTGAAACCTACGGTTTTATATTTTTTTCGGTTTTTTTCAAAAAAAAAAAAAGTTATCCCCATATACAAAAACTACTCCTAATCAACAATACAGTAAAATTTTGATTAAAAATGGACGTACCTCGTTGTTCTTCGGGTGCTCAATTGAGAGAAAATAGTAGACAATGGAAGAAAAATGAGGAAAAAAGTAACATAATCTGAAAAAAAAAAAGACATTATATACTATGGGCCAAGGAGCCACAAAACAGTAGACGAGCAACGAAAGAGTAGCCAATTGCGAGTAGTTTTCTCACGTTGACCGTAGTCAATCCTAACCAATCTACTGTTTCGTAGGCTAGTTTTGGCTAATATGTTTTTTTAGACTAATTTTGGATAAGTAATTAGTGTTTTTGGCTAGATTAGTATTTTCCCCTTATTAAATAAACAAGAATGGTAAATAATAGAATATGTAAACTAAAAATAAAACATATAGTGGCTGTACTGTACTAACGACATATCATCGGTATATTTCTTAACAATAAAAACGGTTTTGATCTATACCGACGGCTAGTCGTCGCTATAGCTCAATCTGTAAAAACGGTCGCCGAAGACCTGTTGTCAATATAGAGTCCTGTGTCCCGATGACAAGTCATCAATATAGATTCAACTTGTCCCGATGACTTTTTGTCGGTAAAAGTAAATAATAAAACTTTTTTCCCCTCGAAAATCAGTCCCGATGGACCGTGTGCCAATGCTATATTGTCGGTATAGGTGTACCTATCCCGACGACTTTTTCACCTATGCCGACAAGGCTTTGCCGTCGACGTGTCGTCGGTATAGGCTATCCCGACAACATGTCGTCAGCATAGGGTTAAAAAAAGTCACCGCACAGGTCCTGTAGTGACTTTATCTTCTATTACCCTTAAGAGCTTCAACTAGATACATTGCTCTCTCGAACCCTAATCAATCACTTCTTATTTCTTGTTCAGCCCTAATCAATCACTTCATTTTCCTTGCTCGAACCATATTCGACCGCCACAAGTGGGGTTCACAGCCGCGGTTTGATTCGGCATTTACGCCGGCAACTAGTAAATGTTTCCCTCTATATTCTCATCTCTCAAATTCATGTTGCGTTTCTCTCAACAACAGCTTATGATACATACTTGGTGTTGCTAATGATTTTGTCAAGAACACAGGGATTCTTTCTAGCATCGCTTGTAATTATTTCCCACTATGGATTGTGCTGCTCGTCGGTGTTTTTTCTACTTTATTTGATAATGGTGTCCTCTGGCTTGCTATCACTAGGATTATAGTTAATTTTCCTTACTGGTAAGTATTTCTTCATAAATATTCAATTGAGTAAATTACACGAATGGTCCCTATGGTTTAGGGTAATTTGCGTGTTTGGTCCCTAACTTATTTTTTTAACTAGGAAGGTCCCTACTATTTGTTTTTGTTACGCGCTTGGTCCCTACTGTTTGTTTTTGTTACGCGTTTGGTCGCTATCTTACCTAAAAAAACTATTATTTTAATAGAGAAAAATGGTGTGGTAGGTAAGGTAAGGTGATGGGGGTGGAGTTGGGGGTGTATTTATTTAAATTAATTAAAAATCAAGGGGGAAATAGTGTTTTTAGGTAAGACAGTGACCAAACGCGTAACAAAAACAAACAGTAGGGAACTTCCGAGTTAAAAAAATAAGTTAAGGACCAAATGCGCAAATTACCCTAAACCATAGAGACCATTCGTGTAATTTACTCTATTCAATTTTTGTTAACTTTTTGCATAACCATCCATCTCCATGATCAAATTTAGGATTGTTTCTTTATGAGTTCATGGGATTTGTTTAGAAGTTAATCTTTATGTTATTTTTAAGCTGACACAGCGAGTGAAACCTCCAAGATTTAGATTGCTAGAAAAGATCAGCAAGAAGCATTTAGTTTTGAGGTTTAATTGCTGTTTAGCTACACGATC